CCCGCGCCTCCTTTGTGACCGTCTCCAGCCCCTCGGAGCCGGCGCACCGCCGCCACTGCGCCCGGGGCTGCAAATGGCGCCCGCTCGCCTCTGCGCCTCCCGCCGCTCTCCCGGCCCGGGGACGTCTGGGGGGCGCCGCACCCGGGCCGCATCCCGCCGCTGCCGCCGCCCGGTGCCAGAGCCCGCGGCGCCTTAGCCCGCGCCCCCGCCCGCAGCGAAGCTCGCGGGCCCGTCCCGGGCTGCCCCGACGCCCCGCCCGCCCTCCGCTCGCGCCGCGCGCAGCCACTTACCGCGGGCCGAGGCGCACCGGCGGGTCGCGTGCGCGGGCCGGGGTAAGATTCCCGGTTCTCGGCAGGGGAAATACCCCCTTTCGAAGCCGTTCCTTTGCGCCCTAAAACAAGTAGCCCCAACGTGAGAGAAACAAAAGGTATTTGCTGACGTGGGCGTTGGACAGAAACGCCCGAGGGCTGGGGACACAATTAAAGGGGCAACGCACAGATTTCAGGCACCAACCAGCAGCTTCGCCCACTCCCCTGCCCTTGCCTACACCCCGCTGCACCCTCCAGAGGCACTGGGGTACCCGGATCCCCTAGCAGTTGACTACAGAGTCATTATTTAGTCAGGAGCTTAAATTTTAAATTGTACTTTACGTTGGGAAAGGCGCCTCCGGAGGGCAGAAGGGCTGGATTTCTAGGATCTGGGGAATTTGGTTTAGGAAAGAGGGAGGGACTTAGGCGTGCCCACAATTACTGTGTAAGTACATGTGACATTATTGTACTTAAGTTTAGCAACGTCAAATGGAAGAGATCTACACAGAATTTTTCCCTTTATTGAAGCACTCGTTTTAGTCGGGGATAACCTTTTCTAAATCTCTACAGGTTACAAGCATTTTCTTTGAAGAGGATAACCCAAGGAGCTGAGATAAGAGAAAATAACTCTTGGTTAAGTTCAGAGAAAATATAAAACTAGTAAGAATAGCAGGTTTTGTGTTTTCAAATACAAAAATTCATTGTATATCAAGCCTTTCTTCTGATATATTTATGTCCCTAATATTTAGAGTTCTGACGTCAGGTTATGTATTTGCTAAAATCTTAAGTCACTGAATTTTCATTGTTACTATGGAAACAATTCTATAAACTAAATTAGTTTTCTAGTTCCTTATGTTGGGGTCAGGTACTGAAACGTACTGTGATATAGTAAAACTGAAAAAAATACTCAAATTTTCAAAACATTTAGTTTTTGATGGATTTCTCTCATGTCATACTCAGTTATACTGGACAAAGTTTATTACTTTGGTTTGATCATAATTAGCTATGCGTTTTGAGGATCATACTCTCTACTAGAAGGATACAAAATATTCACAACTATCTCTTAATGTCACTTCTGTATTACTCTTGAATTGTTTTCCTATTTAGTTGCATGTCCTCACATTCTGAACAGGTAATTGAAAACGTGTTTGAAAGCCACTTGGTATCAGGAGTGTTGGATGTACTCAAACTCTTTTGCCAGCATCCGCATTGAGAATTCTCCCAGAAAGACCTGGGCATTGTTATAGCAAAAGGGTTTTTTTGTTTTGTTTTGTTTTTTTAGCCTTAATTAATTAAAACATGCAAAAGAATTCTACAAACTTGTTCCTCAAGAGAGCACATCAGATGGGTGATAAACTGTTTCAAGGAAGAAGTAATGGGAATTTTTTTCCCTCAACTTCCCCCTCTAGCTTCTGAAACATTTATATATTTGGAGAATTCCTTACATTATGAGTAATTGGTAGGAGGTGGAATCTGCCTTCTGCAACAGAATGTGGAAATGCCAGTGACTTGCTTTCCCAGAATCCCTTGTGGCTAAGACAATGGCCAGGATCTATACTTTGATAATCGGATGCACCCACCAGGGACTTTGAAGAGGGAGCTGTAAGAAACAGGAAACTCAAAGAATCTTTTCTGACAGTGGTGATAGTTGTAGCAAGATAGCATCTCCAGGTGCCACAGTGGCAGTGCCACTGTCCAGTGCCAGTGCTATCAGTGGTACCAGCTGCCATGGCTCTGCTGAGAGCAGTGTTGGTATACTCACCAGACCAGTTCTGTGGTATGACTTGGCTGTTGTTTCTGCCTGGTTAGCATAGGCTCCAATCCCTGTGCTTTGCTCTTCCTGTGATTCTGTGAACTTTTAATACATTCATTTCTGTTTAGATCAGCCAAGGCCAGTCTCTGTGCAACTAAGAACTCTAACTAGTACAAAATTTTAAAAGGCATTTGGACATATGGCCTGAAGCTTAATGGATAAAATTGTTGGAGGTAAAATGTTGTCATCAATGTTGTATAGATGGGAATTAAAACCATGAATATAGATAGAAAAGAGAATATGAAGTAAGAGAAGAAACTAAGAACCAAGCATCACCAACTTCATCATCTAGTGGCTGGCTAGAGGAAGGTGAAATTGCAAATGAGTCTAAAAAGTGACTAGAGTAGAAGGAAGAGATGTGGGATAGTGTGGTGTTACAGAAACTAGAAGAGAGTAATTCAAGAAGGGAGAATTGGACAATAGTGTTAAATACTTCTCTTAGCAGTCTAAGAGAAAAAGTCTATTAGATCTAACAACTTGGAAATCATTGACTTCAGAGAACAGTATTAAGCTTGAAAGAAGGGAGCAAAATCCAGATTATTGGACTACGTGGGGATGAAGAAATAGAGATGGTGAGAATAGACAGCTCTTGAGAGATTTGGTTATAAAGGGTGATATTCCAATTACTATTGCTGTGTAAAAAGCCAACCCAAACATAGTGGCATAAATCAAAGATTATTTTATTATGCTCATGGATTCCATGTGTTGCAGGAAGGTGGACCCCTTCTAGGGCCCAAGAGTGGGCTCTTGTCTAACACTTGGAAATGAATTGTCTGAGGAGACACAAGTGCTGACAAAGCAAGAGACTTTACTGGGAAGGGGCGTCCAGGTGGAGAGCAGCAGGGTAAGGGAACCCAGGAGAAGGGCCCTAGCACGTGGCTCCCGGTCTCAGGTTTTATGGTAATGGGGTTTCCAGGTTTTGTCTAGACAGTCATTCTGACTCGAGGTCCTTCCTGGTGGCGCGCATCACTCAGCCAAGATGGATTCCAATGAGAAGGATTCTGGGAGGTTGGTAGGAGATATGGACTCTCATCTCCTCTCTCCTTTTGACCTTTCCCGAATTCTTCTGGTTGGTGGTAGCTTGTTAGTTCCACCTTCCTTACCAGGACCTCCTGTTGTAAGATAACTCAAGCAAGTGGTTACTATCTTGTCTGGCCAGAGCGGGCGGTTTCAGTCAGTGGTTCCCCTAACATATGGGTCAAGAATTTGACAAGTCACAGCAGAGATGGCTTGTCTCTGTTCCACAATGTCTGGAGTCTCAACTGGGAAGACTCAAATGGCTGAGGATGACTTGAACTGCTGGGAACTGGAATCACCTGGAGGTTTCTTCACTGACAGATCTAGTACCAAGGCTGGTGTAGCCGAAATTCAGTCTCTGTACCTGGTACCGAATTGAATCTCGGAGACAGAATTTTGGGTGAAGTAGAAAAGAATAGGTTTATTGTTTTGCCAAAGCAAAGGGGGCCTCAGAGGGATAATGCCCTCAAAACTGTGTGTCCCGAACTGGAGGGGATAGTGAGGAGTTTCACAGTAATGGTTCAAAGAGGAGGGTATGATCAGCTTGTGGACATTCTTCTGATTGGTTGGTGGTGAGGCAACTGGGAGTCAGCACCATCAGCCTTCTGGTTCCAACCAGAAGGGGTCTCTGTGTTTGTGGACAGCATACAGTTAACTTTTTTCACCTCATGGGGTTTTAGTATCTTCAAAACAACTCAAAGACATTGTTATGTATAGCCCTTGAGGAGGAGCCAGGACCCTGCCCCAAGGCTGTACTATTGTTCCTTGATGCTCCTCCCTTGTCTCCACATCCCCCTCCCTTCCCTGATTAGCAACTGTTTGAACCTGCCCCGTTGGAACTCAGGGAAGATCATGGAGGCTGAATGAAGCCTATTTCCTGTAATCAAGAAATGGGGGACACAGAAAAACTTTTGTGTCCAAGAGCCCCACAGGGTCTGCTCTGTTTCACTGGGACTACTTGAAAACTAGGCTCAGCTGTGACTGTCATCTGGATCCCTAAACATGGCCTCTTCATGTGACTTGAGCTTGCAGCATGCTGGCTGGGTTCTGAAAGGGAATGTCTCCAAGAGAGAGCATACCAAGAGGGGGTATTTCAAGAAAACTAGGAAGAAACTGCACAATCTTTTATACCCAGCTACAGAAGTTGCATTGCCTCACTTGCCATATTCCATTGGTTAAAATAGTCAAGATTCAAGAAGAAGGGGATATAGCTGCTATCTCTTAAGGGGAAGAATGTCAGAGAATTTGGGGCTATGTTTTAAAGCTATTCCAGACAAAGAGACAGGATATTAGCTAGAAGGGGATATACATAAAAGACTTTAAAATGTTTAATGATGATGGAAAGCATGAAGATGAGAGGGAGATACTGAATATTCAGGAGGAACAATTAATAGTGGCTGAATCTCTACAAATTCAGGGAGAAAAAGATCAAAATCTTAAATAGAGGAACAGCCCCTATATCAGAAAAGTGATAACAGTGCTATCCCCATTGAAATTGGGGGGGCAAAGAGTATGGATAGGTGTGTTGGTTTAAAAATGCCCACATATTCTTTGACGCTGCTCCCTTCAAGAGGTAGATCCTAATTCCCCTCTGCATGAGTGTGAGCTGGACTTAGTGACTTGCTTCTAAATAATACAATAAAGCAGAAATGATAGTGTTGGATTTCAGAGTCTTGGTGATACAGGGGAAAGCAGCGTCCTGCTTTTTCTTTCTGTCTCGGATCAGTTGCTCTGGGAGAAGCCAACTGCCTGAGGATGCTCAGGCAGCCATGTGGAGATGAACAGAGGCTTCCTGCCAACAGCCATGTGAGTGATCCATCTTGGAGTGCACCCTAGACAAGCCTTCAGCTGACTGCAGCCCCAGCTAACAGCTTGACTCTCCCTCAGGAGAGACCCTGAGCCAGAACCAACCAGCTAAGCTGCTCCTGAATTCCTGACCCTGATAAACCTTGTGAAGTACTCAGTGTTTGTTGTTTTAAGCCATTAAGTTGTGGGGGTAATTTTTTATGAAGCAACAGACAACTTATACAGATTGTGGTGATTAAAAGTGCTACCATAACAGGGACTTCCGTGCTGGTCCAGTAGTAAAGAATCCACCTTCCAATGCAAGGGACATGGGTTTGATCCCTGGTCGGGAACTAAGATCCCACATGCCACGGGGCAACTAAGCCCGCGCACCACAACTACTGAGCCTGCACACCTCAACTAGAGAGAAGCCCATGCTGCAATGAAGAGCCCACATGCCGCAACAAAAAGATCCCACATGCCGCAATGAAGATCCCACATGCCACAATG